CATCACACACCACTCATCTTACACCACTCATCACACACCACTCATCTCATTCACGTTTATCGTCCAGTATCTTTTCGTCCTGTTTTCTCATCAGCCTCTACTTCTCGCTGTTTGTTCTTACAAGCTTAACATGTGGGGTTATCCGGTCCTTTTATTGCCTGGTTGCTTTTTCCTGCTGTTTCTCACAGCTTCCTTGCTTTCGTGCTTGTGTTTCGTTGCTTCTTTGACATAAGACCTAGATGCTAAGATCAGCGCTCCGTGCTTCCCAAAGTCCATTCCTAGGTTCGCACAACGCGGCTCACCAGGAAATCTGCATATATAACAACAACGTAACATAGATAAACCTTTATCCGTTATCCACCGCTACCCCATAACGGCGGACCCTAAGGGCCACCAGACTTTGGCCATTTCACAAAAGATTTGAATGCCTAGACCAGCAAGGTTTACAAAGCTGCCAAGGTAAAATGTTAAGAATGAAAGAGACCATTCCAACATATAGCAACCCGAGGTTAGATGCTATTGGCTACTAGGCTATGCCAGTTTCTCCTGGTTGGTTTTGTTCCTTTTCTCGCCCTTTTGTAGCGTAGTGAGTCTCTTAGCCCTGCCAAGGTTTAAAAAAGAAATCTAGAAGGAAAGGGACCATTGAAAACAGCACATCTTCTGTGAGCCACCCGATGGTAAAATCTAGAGAAGGAAGGGGCCATTCTAACGGTACCGGTACACAGTTAGATGCCATTCCAATGGCGGATACCTTTTTGGTGAGCCCCCATTCCAACGGTGCACAGGAGGGTGCCATTCCAACAGTGCATATCTTTTTTATGAGCCACCCAATGGTAAACTTTCGAGGAGGAAGGTGTGTGCCATTCCAACGGCGCAGGCCTTTTGTGAGCCATCCGAGTAGAGGAGGAAGGTGCCATTCCAACTTCGCATACCTTTTGTGAGCCACTCAAGGTTAGAATTTAGACTAAGAACACAAAACCTGCGTCGTGGCCCGCGCGATGCGACGACAAAACCGAGAAAACTGAGAAAACCAGAAAACCGAGAAAACCATTTTCGCGTTTTCCCGTGTGGAAGCTTTTTCCAGTTTGCTTACGTCTTCTTGCTTGTCTTGCCTTTGAGCGTGAAAACCGCAACCAAGAAAACCGGCAAAACGAGAAAACCAAGAAAACGGTTTTCATCGTTCTCGCCGTTTTCGCTGTTTTCGCCGGTTTCGCGTTTTCGCCGTTTTCGCGTTTTCGCCGTTTGCGCCGCTTTCGCCGTTTTCGCCCGTTGCGCATTTTTGTCGTTTTCGCCATTTTCGTAGTTTTCGCCGTTTGCGTCGGCTTCGCGCAGTCGTTGTTTTCTTGGTCTTCGCCACTTTCGAGGGTTTTCAATTATGGTTGTTAGTTGTGCACTAAATCTCAACGGTTGAAGGTTAAGTTCAATTCACGAATCTTAGTAAATAGTTCAGTGAATCAGAATGATCTTAATCTTCAATCCAAAAGGAATATCACCTCATCACAGGCACTACGCATGAACGACCAGATAACGTGACCAAGTCTATCCAGAGGGAACCCAGGGATGAAAGAAAAACAAGAATCAGACGACGTCCATTCCTCTCCATCAAACTGAAGAGCCGTGGCATGCCTCATGGCTCTCCTCGCGCGGAATCGACGAGCTCTTGCGACGCAAGGACAGGTTGGAAACCAAGGGCTTGCGATGGACTCTAAGTTAGTTCAGTGGGGCTTGCCTTCCTGACAGTTCAAGAATTGTTTCAATAGACTGGCCTGGGCACATGCAAACAGCAGCTAAGATCAATCGTTGATGGTTGGGATAAGCCGCCCCAGCCAAGGCATTCCCGAGCTCCAAGGCTAAGTACTCCAGGACGCATCTCCCATTGTATGCCTTGCAAGTCATTAAGACATCTCCAGTTTTCTTCTTGACCTCGGCTAAATATAGCTAGATGCTCACATCCATGCCTAGGCCTCAGAAGCAGGGTTGGAAGACAGAGCTGAAACAGGGTAGTTGGATGTTAATAAGCTAAGATTCTAGCCTGGTGGTGAAGGGCGGCTGTGAAGAAAAGATGAAAAGAGTATAAGGCATGCGGCATAGGTCTGGGGCACAGACCTTCCATGCTTACTTACCATAACAAACCCGATCGTCAGGACCGAGCGAGGCCCGAATTCACGTCCGGGTTCTGGCGGCGCATTGTGTCCTATCGGGCCCCGCGCAGCTACTGCTCGAACACACGTTGAGCCGCCTGGCGCAACAAAGGTGGACCGATTTCAAGGCCGCCCTAAAGAGCGCACTTGTTTCAATCTTGTGTCTTCCGATCCTGCACGATTTTGCCATGCCATGGGCTCCATGGACATAAGCCAGAACGAGGGATGCCATATTTTTGGTCGAGAGCTGTCGGCCAGACCCAAGCAAAGCAAAATGCGCCTGGTTTAGAACAAGAAAAGATATACATTTATGATTTATGGATTGTTGTAGATTCAAAGTTGTGCTGTAGATCCTGTAGATCAAAGTTGAAAATCCGCTACATTCTCCATCAACCGCCTGCATGCCCGGCCCCCAAAGGCGCACGGTGCATCCACTCCAATAGAGAGCTCGTTGGAGATCGCGCAAAAGAAGATCGGGGCAGCGTCATGGGAGGAAGGATTGAGGAAGGTCATCCCTACAGTTTCGCCGTCTTCTTGCTTGTCTTGCCTTTGAGCGTGAAAACCGCAACCAAGAAAACCGGCAAAGCGAGAAAACCAAGAAAACGGTTTTCGTCGTTTTCGCCGCTTTCGCCGTTTTCGCGCCGATGCGGGATGCGGTGTTCGAGAAAACCGTGAGCTGTGTCAAATCCAAGCCCTTTTTTTCCGCCGTTTTCCCGTTTTCGCGGTTTTCGCGTTTTCGCGTGGCCTGCCCCCGCATCACCGGGGGCCGAGACACACGTTTCGTATGCACAGAATTTAGAGGAGGGAGGCCAATTCAATGGTGCCTGCCTTTTGTGAGCCACCCGAGGGCAAAAAATCTATTCCAATGTAGCAACCTGCCTGTGTGCGCAAGTGAGATTTTGGACGTGACCCCTCCACAAGTAAATCGACCTCGCGTGCACACGTGAGGTGATTTTTGCGTGCGCAAGTGGGACCGTGACCCTTCCCACAGCGGATGCTAACGGCCACCAGGCCTTGGCCATTTCACAAAAGACTTGAATGCTTAGATCAGCGAGGTTTACAAAACGCTGCCAAAGTAAAATTTCAAGAAGGGAAGGGTCCACTCCAATATAGATCAATATAGCACATCGTTTCATACAACGCTGCTCACCAGGAAATATGCGTTTCGAACTATAGCAGCACCATCCAGCACCAAACTGGAAAAAAAGACACAAATAATCAATTCGGGGACTGGCAACCGGTGCAGACAGTTTTTTTGCGGCACCACCTCGGCTGTAAGATGTCAATTCAGTGTATCTTCGTTTGATGTGAGGCACTTTTGATCCGTGCATGCAGCCGCGTCTAGATAGTGCAATTGGAAAATTCACTGTAAATTACGCATGGAGTTAAAAGGTACTATGAGATACTACAAGCTACACGCGATGCAGCACCCATCGTACAACCAAAGTCCAACCAATTGAACCCTCAAGCGAAAGGGATGGCAGGGAGTTGGAAGCTGCCCGCAACAGGTGTGCAGAAAGAATTGCACCAATTCGCGAATCCGGAAACCAGCTGCTGTTTGCCTGGCATGTGTTAAAGTCCGGGTGGTCAAGCACCTCGGCTTAGCCAAGCTGCCACTTTCAGGTGTACCTTGCTCTTAGGCAATGTGGCGGTGAACTCGGCCCCTCCTGCGGAGTTTGTTGATTGATTGCTGTGTGGTTTCGGGAGGAGTTGAAGGTCTTCACACGCCAGGCTTTATCGATCCTCACCGCCGACATTGCGAGTGGCCTCATTGGTTTTCTCGTTTCGCGGCTGAGAATTTCAGGAAGTGTTGTGATAACCAAGAAATCGGTTGTCCTGTCTCGCTTGGCACAATGAGTTGACGAGCTCAGTTATGCTCAGGTTTCCACTGCTTTGATCGTCGTGTTTGGTGAGATCCTGCCACAGGTCACTGGGAGTAAAGTGTTTCTCTTGTTTGTTTTTGAGGGGGGTAGGCCGGGGTAGGCCATAAGATGTAGCTAGTAGCTTAAGCAAGATCGCTCGCGCACTATTCAGTTGTTTCCTAGATCTTTAGGGGAACTTGCCCGGGGGGTACTTTGATTTCGTTGCTTCGCACCACTTTTGAGTCATACACCTGGAACAAGTCGCAGGCAGCGTGCTCCAGATATGCGCTGCAGGCCAACTTCACCATTGAAACACTGATGTCCTGGACAAAACTGAAACTGTCATTGTCAGTCAGGATCAGTCAGGGAAGGGCAAGAAAGCAAGAATCCCGAAACTCGTTATATAACTATTCCTGACACATGCTCACGAGGTAGGAGCAAGAACAGTTCCCATCGTCAAGTTCTTAATGTGCGCCCCCAAGCGATGCTGCCGGCTCGGGCACCTTTCAGTTTGGATAGTCACAGATATGAAAGTTTCAGAATCCTTGCACAAACCTGCGTCAATAACTTGGCTGCGGAGCGAGAGCCAGCTTTTAGCTTGTCTTAAAGCTGTCTTATGTGGGACAGCCTAGGGAGAGGTTCACCCAAATCCAATCCACATTGCCAGGATTCTGTTCTTCATCATCACGAAGCCTATGAGCATCATCCTAGATTGGATGCTTGGGAGGGAAGTTGGCACAATTCACAGCCGAACCGTCTGGAACCCGGACTTGTCACCTGCCGCTTTGTAAGGCAAGACCACGCCGATACGGTGGGCTTGCGCTTTTGACACGCTGTGTTGAGGAGCTAATGGAGATGTTGAAGCTGCAGATCTCTTTGGGAGCTGTTAGCGCCGAAGAGGGAAAGATAGCACAGCAGGCGTTCGGGTGAACGCAAAATCAACCTGTTCGGCTGTTCGAACCGCACCTAGGGCCTTAGGGAGCTGAATGCTGCTTCAGGGTTAGTTGATTGGTTGTAGAGGCCAAGTGTTTGATCGATCCATCGCTTTCATAGCCCACCATGTTTCTAAAATATGCTGCAATGTTCGGGCAAAGCCTCATACAGAACAGTTGAATTTGCATGAATTGACCATTTGCACGTCAACTAGGATTTTTATCCAGCCCATGAATGGTGCCGTTTTATGCAGGTAGCTGAAGGAGCACTAAGCTTTCGTGACAAGCAGGTGACATGGGCGCCGACGCAAAAGGGTTGCAATGCCACATGTCACTGTCATGTCACTAAAAGAAGTTGCATATATTGACCCTGGTTAGGTGGGTGACATCATGACGCCACTGGAAGATGTCAAAGCCCTAGTGAAATGTAGAAGTGGCGTTGGTGGCTTGAGCTCACACAGTTCACTTGGGTGAGCTCAAAGAGTTTCAAAGTTTCGGCGTTTAAGGCATACTTTCTCAGTAGCCGCACCAAGCTAGGGTATGATGCCATTCGGGAAATCTTTGAGACCGGATATAGCCTCTTGGCAGAGCTGGAGAGGGGCAGAGGGGCAGAGGCAGTTTGGTCAATCAATGACCTTAAAAACAACATTACAACACTTCAAGGCCGCATTCCCATCTACGGCATGGACAAGCACGACTACCGAGGGCTCCTTTACACTAAGGATAACATGAAAGCAGTACTTCTCTCAACCAAGTTCAGGAGTGGGAAAGGATGGAAAAGGTAGGCGCCTTTATTGCTTGCAGGACTTGATGCTGGCCGATCCAGAAGATGAGATGAAGGCGTTCTATTTCCTGATTCTGATTCCCCAGAAACTTTGTGCATCGCAAGTCCGCTTTGCGTCAAGGTCTTTCATAAGCAAGAACACGACCGAGTAGTCACTAATGGTCTTTCTATTCGCTCATCCTGGGCTTAGCCACCCATTACTAGAACAAAGAAGAAGCAGGTTTGCAAACTTTTACCGTCTCATGTTTTTTGTGGTGCAAGGTGGGCGACTTCATCCAGATATTTAACCGGAAGGCCTGCGGAACGCTGGATGTCAGCATGGCACCAAAAACTCCAAACAAACACACGAACAGACAATAATTATGAACTACATGTTGGATGCTTCTAGGTGTTTGTGGTGTTAAGATATCTACAGTAAGTTTACAAGATGTATAACATAAGTTATACAAGCAGCTCTTTTGCTGCCGTCTCTCCTTTTGCAAGTGATTCTATAGTGTTTTGAAGGTAGAGACGTTCTTCGAGGACTGCCCGTGTTCGGCAATGCCTCGGCATGAGCTCCTCGCAAGCTGCTTTTGACAGGAGACTAAACTAGTACAGTGTTTGAACGCCTTCAAGAAAGGGGGCACACATATGGGCCTCGTCCGAAAGGTTGGCAGCCTACTGTGAAACTTTGCAGTTGTTCTTCAACAAAGGTAAGAAGAGACTATTACATACTTTAAGTGTTTGGCAAGGCAATTACCACGGTCGACACAAACCCTCGCTTCGAGATTGTTGGCGTCGGAGTCTTGGCATGACATGCAGCACTTGGCCGCAAAGTTTGCTCAGCACGTATTATTTTGATCAGTATCAGAAAGCAGCAATGATACCAAGATATATTTTAGTAGATACTTTTATATTTTGCACCACGGAAATTTACAGTAGTTACCAAGAACGTGTAGTGTAAACCACAGCAATTATCCCCGTTGACTAGTGAGCATTTGGCTCTAGACCGGACAGCATGAACATGTCCTGTCAGCAAATCGATAATGGCTGCGATGCAAAAGCAAAGAAAGTTCTCAAGATATGCATGCGTAAAAACAGAGGCAGAGAGAGAGAGAGAGGAAAAAAAATAAGAATAGCCAGAAAGCCGCTTTTTGTGCAGATTCACCATCCACACACCTCTTGGAAAATCATGCCATTCAATTCTGTGCGGGTTAGATGTGCAGCTGTCGGCTTGGAAGCCAACTTCTCGCTTGACCAAAAGCACCTGCTGGTTGCAGGGCTGAAGAAAGACTTAGCAGAAAAGGTCCAGCTGCAAGCGCGCCTCGGCAGCGTGCTGCATGATGTTGCAAAGCGTTCATGAATCATTGAGGGGAATAATTGTCAGGTGGGAGAACAGCATGCGCAACGCCATGAGACGCCCCACAAAGAAAAGTTTACAATGTGCTTCATCGCATGGAGGATCATGAAGCCTTAAAATGTCGTAGAGGAATGCAATAATCCTGCAGCATCCTACAGCATTTTGTGCTGCAGATCCCAGCTTTGGCATCAAGTGGGATAAAGCCAAGAGATGTCAAAGGTTTGTCACATCATGTTCCTTTGGTTCCGGAGCTCAATTCCAGCTATTCAGGTGGCGTATAGATCTTTTGCACAATGGTGTGCGTCTATCATTCGAGGACATCATTGATGTGCAAAGTGATGAGGGCATTCTGGAGCTGGAGATGAAAATCCGGAAGGCCTCTGCCAAGAAAACCATTTCAATTGATTCCCGACTTTTGATGCAAATCTCCGATCCCGCACTGAAGCAGGCCCACATTGAGCATTTGAGAGAGGATCTTGGACTGTCAGAAAGCTTGCAAGGTGACCGGAGTTCGCGAAGCCAGCGAAACCAGAGCTTCGAAGAAGTCTTTCTCACTGTTACGGACTGGGACTCGAGAATGCCTGAGACAGCCACTGACATTTTGGTGGAGTTTCTGGCCTCGAGAAGCGATGACAGTCAAGTTTGTTTGGTGCATTTGGACTTGCATGGGACTTTGCCCAGACTATTGAGCGCAATGCTTCGGAATCGGGCATACTTTGAGTCAGCTGCAAGCTCGGTGGAGACACTTGAGCTAAGTTTGGAGAATGTTGATCCTTTGGACGATTTCCTTCCACGCTTTCCAAATTTGTGTGCCCTCAGGATGTATAGGCCAGAGTTTCCATTTCAACAGGATCCTGAGGACCTGACTGATCAGTACAGTATGCGGCTGTTGCATTTAAATTGCCAGTCCCTGCAAGATATCGCTATTGTTGGACTGCATGCTGGTCAGCAAGGCATTTTCAGCACGGTGCTCAGGAGCCTTGCATGTGGCCCTTCTGCAGACATGCATCAACTGCTTTGGCTTTCCAACCTAGGGTTTCAAACAGGGAACGCTTTGAGTTTGACTGTTTTTGACTGATGTGTTTTTAGCATTGTAGCGCTTGAAGAACACATGTGTATATATATATATGTTCACATATATGTGTATATATATACTATACAACTATTTTTTTGCATTTATATATATATACATATTATTAGGAGCGCTGGGCGAGGGCTTTGCAGTGCTCCTATCGTAAGGTAAGAAGTTTGCAGGGAGATCACCAAGTGCTATGGCAAGTTTATCTACAACGCTTTGGTTTGTTAGCAGCTTACCCCATGTTCTGTTCGCGTTGAGAACGCTTGGTGATTTGTTGCAAGAGTTGAGGGCCAAAGCTTGGAGTCTCGGAGCTGAAGTTGCATTGATTCAGAGCCTATTGTTGTCATAGTATAGAGGACGTGTTGTCAGTCAGAAGTAAGCACGTCCAAGACCACAGGAAGTTTGGTCGCATAGGGCATAGACACCAAGCAAGTATTCTGTCAACCTTTTCCGAGGGGTGACAACTTCCTCCTTAACTTGGGGAAGCTCAATATTCAAATAGAAAGCGGCGAGGGCTTCGACCAAGGCTGGACGCTGTCCAATCGATTTTGTCAATTGATTTCGCAGCTGCAAGTCCTGATTCCCACCAACATGTCTCAGTTTTGGTGCATTTTTTGAGTTTGTCATGGTGTCCACCAAGATTTGCACGCACTGAACTGACTGACTGACTAATATATACTGACGCTGAGTTCGAAGTCTGGTTTTGCCGCCAGGCTTCGGTACAGTCCACGAAGTGGCCAGGGCCGCCTTGAATCGGGGACTGGATGACGATCAGATTGCTAAGCAGCTAGCAGTGCACAGGAAACTGATGGAATTTGTACAGTTTCAGACATTGATCAAGAAATAAGTTAATTATGCTACAAACATATAGCAAAGGGAATTGCGCGTGTAGCGTGTTTGTAGCATTGGAGTCATTAGAGTGTCCATGATGCTAAGGAGGCGCAAAGTTCTTACCACCATTCGTTCTACACAGCCAGCCTTTGCGGCGCATCCGAATGACACGTTATTGTGCTTGTTTGACGTCACTCCCCTTTCCCTGGGTGTGGTTTCTTGGTTTGAATGGGATTGAATCATGCATGTGCTCCAATCAATCACATGTGTAATGTGTGGTTTTCTTATGGCAACTTATATAGGTTGTTTGTAATCAGCGGGGATCCTTTGATGTCTCCCCTAAGGCTTCAGCTGGTGGAACGCAGTTAGTTGAGGACATCAGCGCCTTGCAAGAGCTACGCGGGTCAATCATCACTGCGCAGGTAGCATCAAGCGCATCAGCACAAGTGCCACTCCATATTCAATGCAGCACCTTTTTTGAAGTGAGACACTGTGATATATCGCGACTGTGTTGAGTTTCATGAAGTCCATCCCATCCTGACTGGGAACGCTGAACCAGGCAATCTTGCAGGAGAAACACTTCTTTCTGGACATCTTCCTGCTGAGAGCACAGTTGCCGACCTGGAGACACTGCTGGTCACTTCTTGCAGCAGATCATGGGGCGGTGCTAGTTTCTTCCTCGGTGATTGTCGAGTCTCACGCAGCTCCACCTTGTGCCAATATGAATCGCTGCTTGTCAAGGACCCTCGACAGAAAAGCAGCTCTCAGACTGCTGTTGAAGCACCAGCACTCATGCTACTAATTTCATGATATAATTGTTTCTTGGTTGTTTGACCTCTAGTTTCGCTGGTTGCAATATTTGAACATAAATATTTGACAATATTTGCATGTTTCACAGGGTTGACTTGCCAACTTGCATTGCACCAATCAGCAAGTCAAGAATTTACTTTAGTAGTTGCCTTCCTTGTTGGCCACAGTGCGAAAATCTCCCTCTCCTTGATGCCCCTATGCTTACTCCAAGCGCTATATTGCCGTTGCTGCCATCACTGCTGCCGATCAATCAATAAATCACACACACACACGCCAGAAGAGAAGCCGTGTCAATGCCAAAACATAACAACAAGCCAAAAAAACAGCGCCAAAGCCCTTCAGGAATCCCACTGAAGGGAAGGACTGCACGAGCAGTTGAAGCTCCAAGGCCTGCCAGTCGTCTCACAATCGTACACACTCACCCATCTCCCATCGTACCAAGAGTGACACCATCAACAAGGGTGCGGCATGGTGCAGCACTGGGATCGCGAGCAGTGAATGGCGGAGTATCTCCGACTGGAGCTAGATGAGCAAAGTTTGCAACCACAGAAGCAAAGAGCTCTCAACATTCCATGGCATTGTCCAACCACATCGGTAGCCATTGCTGCCTCTAGCAACCTTTATGAATGTCAAAGAGGGAGTTAGCGGGTTTAACTCAAGCAATCTCACAAGTTTTTGCACAAACAGCGGGCTTTAGACCTGTTGAGACCGCCATTGCTGGCGAGTTTGCTTGTGCTTTCGTTCTTCCATGGGTTGCGATGCTGACCTGTTGAGGAGGAGAAGGATGCCGTGATGACCGGCATAATCCAACGGAACACCACGATCCCTACAAAGAAGTCGAAGCTGTTTACCACGTACTGTCACAGACAAGAAGGAGTGTGCATTCAAGTCCTTGAAGGGGAACTGCTCCTGGCCAAAGACAACCACGTAGTGGGACATCTTCAGTTGAATGGTGTTTGTCCAGCTTTCGAAAGGGGTATACTTCTCATTGAAGTGACCTTTGATATCGACGTTCCCTGGCTGCAATTTGCATGGAACATCTCCAAATTGACAAAGAATTGAATGTTGACACCACTCGACAGGCCTCATTCTGTTTGTATACAGTTGTGCCTGAGGCCAACGGCATTTTGCACGTCACAGCATTTGATCATGGCTCTAGATCCAAATCTACTGCAACATTCCCGCTTGAGAAGCGAAGTCATGCAAGAGGTGCCGAAATTGAACGCGCACTGGCAAATGCAGAAGTGCATTGGAAACAGCGGAGTGCTATCGAGGAGCTCTTTTGCACAACTGTCCATGTCCAATCGACAAAAGTTGAACGGCAGATAAGTACGCTCAACGCCTGTTTGTAAACAGATATATAAAATTACATTTTACGTGTATATAATATGTATATGTATACATACATATCAATGACACAGGCCACAGACTCTGTTGTTTGTTGTTAAATTTCAGGTCAGCCCTAACACTAAGCCAACTTCCCTTGAGGCAAGGAGCGAGATTCTGGCCAAATGCGGTAAGGTTTTGCAGCTCAGGCCGTCACAGGCCAAGCAAGCAGAGGATCTCCTCGCATGGATGGACCTATTGGCGAAAGAGAATGCATGTCAGATGTCTTTCATGTTTTTGTTGCATGAAGCCCTTGTAACTTCTCAACCATCCTGGACCTACAAAAGATTTCGTAGTTGTGGTGAGTGCGGTCGTTTGTTTTCTCTGGGCTGTGACACTTGCAGGATGAGCACGAGTTGAGTGAAGACATTGACTACGTTGCCAAGCTCAAAGCAGCAGATAACATGGTTCGTCAACTTGACAGCAAGGCAGCCATAGAAGAGGTTGATTGATGACACCTCGAAATGGAAAATCAGCCAAGAGACATCGCACTAGAGGCTGAAAATGTGCGCTTCGGACCCTCCATTCGCTTCCCCCAGTTCGGACAACAAGACGCAGCAGTCTGCCATTTCTCGCAAACAACTCCAACACCAGGTGCTAACTTTGGAGGACATTGTCGAGGAGATCATTCAAGAAGAGATTGTCGACGAAACGGATGTTTATGCTGCTGCCCTCAGGAATGTAATGTCATTGTCACGTCATTGCATTTCAAAGCACCTGCCAGCAGCCCGCATCAATGTATCAGGACACTCCACTTTGTGCACAAAGACCCCCAAATTGATTGAAAGTATATCCCCACTAAAATGTATTGGAAACAGTTTCTATCCATTTTGGTGAGCACTATAGACGACCTTTGGGCTTTGCGTCTTGTAATCTACCCCCTGATGCTCAGAGTGGATGTTCTTTGCCTGGACTCCAGGTTTAGCTTTACGTCCGGTTTTTGGGTCAACCTGTTGCATTCCTGTTTTCGTACCAGACTTGACTTGTTTAGGCAGGTTTGGTCCAAGGGGCAAACGGACTTCCCACCATGCACACCGATTGTTAATGACCACCGTGCAGTTTGGAATCTTTCGACAGTTGCTGTGAGAAGCTACAGCGAACACTCTTAATGTGGCTGCTACGATGCTTAGCCATGCTTAGCATGCCATGCCTTGATTTCACTACCTCTCAGGCCATCTCAGGCCTTAGCCTAGCTCTTGTTCAATCTAGAACTCTTTCCACAATCAGCTCCAAGGTCGATGTGGATCGGCGGTTGAAGATCGGCGGTCGAGACACCACAAACTTCAATCTAGGCAATCAGCCATATCGTACCATTTCCTTTTTTGCTGGGATGACGCCGTGCCGAGAAGAGTTTTATAGAGTCTTTTGCCTTCTTCCATATGTTTTGTGAACATGGTGAGGTTCTGTAGAAATCGCGTCTCTTTCAGATTTGTTCGTGCAGTCTCAACATGTGCAGGTCCTGAAAGAACCTGTTTCTGATACAAACAAACGATAACAAACGTATTTGATCATATATGTAATTAACTATTTATATATATATATGTTGTTTGTACATATACTGTAGACATTCCCACAGACTGCTGCTGTGACAGGCGTCTTCAACCCAATTTGGCGCTCACGGGGTGACAAACTGAGCCGTGAAGAGGTCCCTTCACTTCGCGTGCAAGATCCTAGATATGTTTGAACAAAATATCATGTGCATATACATGCATATATTATGTACATAAATGAAACATACAGGTATTGCTCGATGAAGGCACCTGCAAGTCCTCACACCATTGTGTCGTTGCTTTGAATTGCTCAAAGCAATGCCACTGTGAAAGCTTGAAGGACTGAGCGCATGATATGAATGGGCAGTCTTCAAGATGTTTCACATGTGTGATAGCATAGTAACTGGTTGCGAGTCCTTGGTAAGCTGTCAAGTGTCATGTGATGTCTGGTGCATGTTCCTATGCGTGCAAGTGACAAGTGTGTGTGTGTGTATCTATATATATATATATCGAAAGCCAGCTGATAGGCTAGGCTGAAGTGCTGGATGGGCGGCAGGGTGAACCCAGAGCCTGGTAGGGGAGAGCCAACCAAAAGGAGGTCAAAATGTATAAGGGCCTTGGTGATGCGAGTGTATTGTGGCATCTGTGATACAATCGTAAATGTTTGTGGTACCACAAAGGTTGACTAATGCATCATTAATCATTAGCATCACAAAGACGCCAGGACACCACTCAAATGGACAGGAGTCGGCTTTGTTGCGTGCATGGCTCTTCCCCAGCAAACATGGACCGCGAGGTGTAAAGACGGTAACCTAGGCAGGCACGTTGCCGCTATAAAGGCCTCAACGTTGAAGGCAATGTGTGGTGTCAACAAAGGACCGTTTTCTGCACTGCTCCGCTGTAGGGCCCGCGCGATCCAAGAGGGGGTGGGCCGAAACGCATCTTGACTAATGGACTCAACGGAAAGGGCTGCTGTGTCACAGCTTTGTAGAACTAAAGAGGGCACCAGCAAAGGAGTGCTATCTTCTGGGATCTAGCTAGATCCCCCCAAACAGCCGCAAAGAAAATTCGTTGAAAGACCATGTTTGTGGTCTGCTTGAAGGCTATGCACCCAACTCCCCTGAAGATAGAAGCGTTAATGATGTTTGCTCTATTTTGCTCTGCTGCTGGGAGGACAAAACACCTCTGCAAGCCGAGTACACAGAATATCGCATAGACGGCATTCTGCACGATGTACCTTCCAAGTTTTGCCACTGATAGTTTGGGTTTGAGATTATACTTGGCCCAGCCATGTTGGCAGTGTCTTTTGAAGCAGAATTGATCTTCATGTGCAAGTGACGCTATAGTAGGCATAAGGTCATAAGCCCTCCTTTTTGATATTTGTCACTCTTTTGTTCGCTTCGTCAGAAGTGTTCCAAAGGGCGGCAAAGGCCCCAGAAGGTATGCAATGGCCTCCAACGTACTATGAGGGCTGGCTACAAGCACCCAGTGTGCACTAGAATTCTCAGTGTCTACGAAGGCTGGCTTTCGTCCCCTCCCTTTTCACGTATGCGTGTGTGTGTGTGTGTTGGTATAGATTAATTACACCGGGTGGTCTTTGCCCGTCGCCAGGTCAACGCCATCTCTGCGCATTTGATGCGGACGGCCTTCAAGTCAGGCAGATTGACCAAAATAAAGAAGGTGTCAAAAAAGTTGAAAGACCTATAGCAGGATGACAATCTCAGTTGTAGGGGTATGATGCCCTACTATGGCAGTTGGAAGTTGCTCTCGGATGCTCTTGGCAGATAGTGTGAATGTGGAAGAGTTGAGTTGTGGAGCTGAGTTATTTCTTCGAGTTTCTTGCATTTGGCTTGCACAGGTGGCGAATACTCCTTGAAGTATGACACCATAACTTGGCTGGTTGGTGAGGCTGATGTTGGGAAGCCTTGGGAACATTTGGATACCACACCTACATTGTTCCTATCGCAGAATACTTAAGCACTACTAAGCTTGAAGGCAAGCGATCGCAAATAGAGTCGAGTTTCCTGCGGCAAAGTTCGCCTTGATGTGTCGCCCGATTCACCCAAGGTCCAGAACCTCACTCGACATGCCCCAACAGGGCTCGACCCGGCCGACACTGACTGGCCCATCCCTCAGAGCTTGCGCACACCAGAAGCCATTGTCAGACTTCCAGAAGCTTTGGCACATGCAAAAGATCAGGATCTACCGCAGAGGAGAAGTCACTCATCGATGCACACTTATTTTGCAAGGCTCAGCACCACGGAAAGTATGCGTCAAACACTGTCAACAGGAAAACAATCAGAAATTCATAGAACTCCTGAACTGGTTCAAGATGACATGACATGTCATATCAGTCCACAAGCTGCTGAATACAGCACCGTGATTTGACTACTTCAGCTGAGCTACTTAGATGGGTTTTGCCGACATTTGAACATGTCGAGAAGCTTATTTGGCAAGTAGTGTGTTTGAAAATTCTTTCAGAACATGCCAACTCAACTGCACTCCAGATTGATGGTTGTGTTTGCATGTTTCGATTCTATTCTGTTGCCCTAATCCTTTCTGCTAGGTTGATGTTGTCAAGAAAGCTAGCCTCATCTAGCTGGAGTCGCTCTTGCTTTAGCAAGTTGTTTGACGGGGTGGACGGCGCCTCCCAGACCATTGAATTCTATTTACTTTTCATGTTTGTTTCTACTAGCTTCTTGTTACTAGTAGTAAGGCACCTGTTACTACTAGCGTGGCACTTGTTTCTACTAGCTTCTTGTTACTAAAATTACACCACCGTAGACCCCAAACAGTTTGTGTTTTTCGAATCGGAACACTCTGCAGCCTGCGACGTCCAGAGCTGGGAGACAAAGGATTGCAAGGCAGAGGCGGCCACAGCAGTCCAGAGCTGGGAGACAAATGTAGACACAGGGAGACAAATGTGCAAGCGAGATGGAGACAAATGCAAAGGCTTGCGAGGACACATGTAAAGGATTGCAAGGCAGAGGCGGACACAGCAGTCAGAGCTGGGAGACACATGTAAAATTAAGGATTGCAAGGGAGAGGCGGACACAGCAGTCCAGAGCTGGGAAGAAGAGGAGACAAATAAAAGGAAGTGGGAGACAAGCCAGCCGGGAACCCGACCAGAAGCACCCAGCCTGGGAGACAAATGAAAAGAACT